GCTTATACTTAACCTTACACCATGCTATAATCAAAAGTTATCCCTACGGAGTTAAATGGGGCTTACTATTCAGTAAGTGGCAGCCTTAGACTAGGGCATTGGGGCTGGGATTGTGCAAGCAGAATATGGGAAAATATATTTTGAGGAGCTATCTGAAATGAGAGAGTTGACTTTACTTAGAGATATTCTGCAAGACAGCTCCAGCAGTATATGACATTAGGAGAGAAAGGATGGAATTGTTTGAGGGTGCAGAAGTCTCGATGGCTGAATGGAACTGGAAGGTCACAGGCAAGCATGTGCTAGTATAGAAGATCAGGGGCCCACCTGGTCCAGTATAACCTGCTGTCAGTGCCCAATTAGATTCCTACTGGAAGCACACAAGGACATGAGCACTATAGCGCTGCTTCTGTTAATGGAGGAAATATTACTGGCGCACTTCCCCCCATCTGTTATGGAACTCCCATAAAACATGTGGTTCTCCACTTTGGCCACATTTAAGCACAAAAAGTAGAAACCTTCCTATCTGCCCAGGCCTTTGGGATGCAAGCAACTTTTTTTTTTTTTATGAGGCTATAATTTTTGCTCTCTACTACTGTTGCCTTGTACATTTTACTGTGTGGTGCTGCTTACCTGCAATATTGTATTGTTAGCAGCTCCACACTCCCATTCCGAGGAAGAATGGGGTAAAACTGCAAGGAAAGAAATATTTCCTGGAAGACCACACAGGTTTACCACCTTTAGGCTGAAGTTGTTAGGAATGGCTGTAGATCTGCAGCCTAGTAACGCAGCACAGAGACCTTGTACAGTGGACACTTGGGTTGTGAACGTGATCTGTGTGGGAGGCACGTTCGCAACCCACAGTGCCACATCTGCACACACGTGGGTCATGATTTGGCACTTCCGCGCATGTTCCAAAACCCGGAAGTAACCCATTCCGGTACTTCCGAGTTCGACGCTGTGCGCAACCCAAAAATGCACAACCTGAAGCGTCTGTAACCCAAGGTATGACTGTAGGTGTTTGTTTTTAAAGTGCGAGAGAGGGCCTCAAGATGGTCTAATATCAAATTAAAAATTAAATACAGGATCCCAGCTGTGCTGAAAATATGTAATTCCATGAATCATAGAATTGTAGAGTATTACAGAACTGTAGAGGGACATGGGTGGCGCTGTGGGTTAAAGCCTCAGCGCCTAGGACTTGCCGATCGAAAGGTCGGCGGTTCGAATCCCCGCGGCGGAGTGCGCTCCCATCGTTCGGTCCCAGCGCCTGCCAACCTAGCAGTTCGAAAGCACCTTCGGGTACAAGTAGATAAATAGGGACCGCTTACCAGCGGGAAGGTAAACGGCGTTCCGTGTGCTGTGCTGGCTCGCCAGATGCAGCTTGTCACACTGGCCACGTGACCCGGAAGTGTCTGTGGACAGCGCTGGCTCCCGGCCTATAGAGTGAGATGAGCGCACAACCCTAGAGTCTGGCAAGACTGGCCCATACGGGCAGGGGTACCTTTACCTTTACAGAACTGTAGAAGGAGCAGATCGCTGTTCAGGGTTCGGCGTCTCTGCTTTCCGTTTCAAGCCTAGTTCTCAGCTAGGCTGTTCTCAAGGCACAGCAAGCTAGATGCTGTAGGTACGTTTGCTGGGTTCTAGAACTCACCTTTACCAATTGACTACAAGAGCAGTCATTTTTTGTCTCATCATCACTGAGAGACCTCGGCACTTCCATGAAGTCACTCTAAGGGGAACTCTGGCTTCCCTTATTTCAGGCTCCCTGGTACAGAGAAAATCATCACCTGTAGGGCGTTTTGAGATAGCTCTTTGTCTGTGCCAAACGGAAAAGGGAAGGAAGTTCTGAATTTGTGAAAGAATGATTGTGCCAGCAGTGCAGATCTACCAGTCTGCTCTGACTAAAAAGCATTGCATGTGGATAGAGAATGCCAGGGGTGCCTGGCATAAACTCTGGTCTGATAAAAGCACCCTAAATTCCAACATTTCTTCATATATTTATTGCCTATAGCTTTTCTAAATGCAAGGCTCATTGATCCACTTTCCTTGTTGGAATCGTTTTCTCAGTATGTCACAACAATGAAATAACACTGAAGTACCAGAATCATTTTAAAATGCTTCTTTTTATTTCCATGGTTGCACATTGGGTAATTAAATAATATTTCAACCAACTCATAAATGAGTATTTAAATCAGGCTCCTAAATAATTACAGTACATGGAATAAGAGAAGGGGTTTATTTAACTGTTAGCAAAGGATGCAGTGTAAATGTCACCATTGATCATTTTGTATGGGCAAATTAAGGTATTTTGGTGAAGTGCTCTTATAGAAAATACAGAGACGTCCCAAGACACTTGAAATTATGTCTCGGCTTCAGTACTTGCTGACTATATTGGCCCATTTCATGGTTGCTTCAAAGGAGTATTAAAAACAACAACAACAACAAATCAATGTAAGGTCGATTTACCATCGTTAGACATTCTTTTCCAAAATATAAATGAAGTTTTGGCAAATAATATTTATACAAAAAATAGGTTTAGATCTTTCCAGATTCAATGTATTCTACAAAACTACTCTAAAATAAATAAAAAATTATGTTCTTGTATACTTTTTTTTTTAAACGCTAGTTCTTTCTTTACTATGAGTACAGATTAAAAGCAGGAGGCACAGAGACTAAACAAAGTGCAGTTGAGAATGGGCAGAAGGAAACCAGGCTTGGGTATCATGTCACATTAAATCTCAGCTTAAAACAAACTGCGGTTTAATGTGAGATAGTGGGCGCTCCTATTCCACTCCTACCCCATTGTGGATCAAACAATGAGTCGGCCTTGTTGTGTTGTCTGAACCTGGGCTCATTGTCATTGCTCTCCAAACCAGCCAAGATCTGTTTTTAGCTTACCACTAGTGGTTTGTTGGGGGAGAAATGAACCACAAACCTGGGTTTGAATGACAAGACAAGGCAGATTCCGGCCTATTTTGTCCACAGGGTGGCAGCAGTGGAAAAGCAGCACTGAAAACCTTCTTAGCAGCATGTGCTTGCAAACAAACCATAATTTGCTTTAAACTATGGTTTAATGCACGGGCAAACTAAGGCAAACTAAGGCCTGGGGGCCAGATCCAGCCCAATCGCCTTTCTAAATCTGGCTCGCAGACGGTCCGGGAATCAGCGTGTTTTTACATGAGTAGAATGTGTCCTTTTATTTAAAATGCATCTCTGGGTTATTTGTGGGCATAGGAATTTGTTCATCCCCCCCCCCAATATAGTTTGGCCCCCACAAGGTCTGAAGGACAGTGGACTGGCCCCCTGCTGAAAAACTTTGCTGACTCCTGGTTTAATGTGACGTGCAGACTGGGCCAGTGATTTTGCTGTCCTAGAGACAGGTATCTCTGAATGTATTTGTGTGACTTCTGCTCTCCTAGGTAGCCCTTGCTGAAAAGGACGGGTTAGACTTCCTTTGCAGGTGAAAATGAGAAGTTCTTGTTGCTAGTTCTGCTGATGGGACGCGTTCTGGTAGAAATGGAAAACAGGATTAGGCTTGTGTTGCGGGCTGAAGATGGAAGCCAAAACAGTAAAATGAGGCAAGCAACAAACAGTGGGACAGAGCCCTGTGTTTAGATGCCAAATGGCTGAAAGCAAGCATTAAAATGCGTATCGCTTTAAGGGTAGGAACATCAGATTGAGGCTGGAATGAACACTATATGAAGACCAGCTGGGTGGCTGGAGCAGAGATAAAGGAGGAATCGGTTCTGGAGTGCAGGGCTGACATGAGGGCTGGCCCAAGACATTTTGGCAGCTGAGGCCAGCCACAAAATGGCGCCCTGCCCGCCCATCAGGGAAGAAGGGGTGTGTGTGAAGTTCTACATTGGGAGCAAGGAGAGGAATAGCTCAGGAGAGCATGAGACTCTTAATCACGGTTGTGGGTTCGAGCCCCACGTTGGGCAAAAGATTCCTGAATTGCTCGGGGTTGGACTAGATGACCCTCGTGGTCCCTTCCAACTCTACAATTCTACATCGGGAGTAAGGGGGGAGGGAGTGAATATCTATATTGGAATGGGGGGGGGCGGGGAAGGGGCATGCTGGGAATCACATGGGGTTGGTTCAGAGCCCAAACACCCCAGAAGGCAGCCCCTGCCATTTCATCCTTAGGGATGGGAGACTACCAGAGCCTTCTACTCGATGAGATGACTTCTACAGTGGCACTGGAGGCGGGAGCTGCTCAGGAGGGGTAGATCCTGCCTCCAAAGCATATGTAGCAGCAGAGGCTGGCGACAAATTCCGTGGAGGCTGGATCTTGCCTCGCCTCGCCTCAGGGTTGGGCCAGCCCTGGCTGGCACAGTATGTAAGGAGCAGGGTTTTTAAAAGTTGCAAGTGAGAACGTGCCAGGGGCGAGTGGATTAATATATGTTGTTAATAATAAAAATTATAAATTACTTCAGAGCAGGCTGTTGAAGCAGCGTAGACCAAAGCAAAATGGGGTGATGCAACAGACTCGGAAAACAATGCAGGTTGAAAGCTTAGTCAGGGCTCCTGGAGGGCATTTGGGGCGTAGTTTGTGTGGGGCTCCTTCTAGCTGCCGCTGGTTTCTCTGCCTGTGCAACCTCTGTGACTCATGCTCTTAAAACTGTGATTCTCAAACCACTTAGTCCAGCCTAGCCCCATTGAGACAACGCAGCTATTTTGGAGCCAGTGGATTGTGGTTTGACATAAATATTTTTAGAAATGTAGAAACAGAACAAACTTATATGTCAATACAGTGGAACTCTCTCTTTTTAAAAATAGGATCTCTCTTTTTCTCTTGGTTCAGGAGGAAATAAAGATAATGACGTTTGATCATTAATGAGTAGAACATAACATTGCAGTGATTCTAAGAAAATAATTGTTTAAAACATAATGTCCGATAAAACGTTCTTTCTACAGTTTAAATATTTAAACAACATACATAAATTGCCATTTAGTATTGTCCAATAAACTATCAAATGTTTAAATGCAACTTTTAAAAAAAGAAAAGAAAAAAAGAACCCAAACTACAGATGTAGGTAAACGGCCATATTCTCAACCTAGGTTAAACATCTGAGAAAATTTACAAGTAAAGATAAAAGAAATACATATTCCTCACAAATTAAAACTATTGCAAGATTACAAACACTATGTTTACCATCAGATTTTGGGTTCTTTGTCCCCCCCCCTTCTTTTAGGTAATCGAAGCTATCGTTTGAATATAAACAGGTATTAGACATTTGAAAAGCAAGATTAACACTGAAAAATAATTTCATTAACAAAAAAATCAATTAGTGCTTCTGGTCTTTCTGAGTAGGCAGTGCCGCCAGAGCTAAGTAGCTTAGAATCAATCTGAAAAGTCTAAGTTAAAATACTGCAATCATTTATAATGTTCACATGGAAAAAAACAGATGTTTCAAACAATTATACATATTTCCATAGAACAGCTGCTTTTTTGTTTTATAAACAATAATTTAAAAACTATGTACTTGTCTGATATATGTGCAACATATAAAATGTGAAATGTGACATATTTGGTACAACAGTGTAGGAAACAAATCTTAAAAACAAACCTCCTACATTAATCAAATGTATATAATTACCTTGTAAATCAACACAGTTTTTAAAAAAGTAAACATTAAAATCTGTTTTGTCCATATATATGTATGTGTATATATAATATGTATATAGCTGTATTAAAGATATCTTCATAGTTCTGTGACATAAAATAAGCTTTTAAAGAAAAAAAGGTTAAAAGAACTAGTTTCTTTCTCTGTGCTGTAATCCGGTTACAACTTCTTAAACCTGATTTTAAAAATACGGCAACAGTAACAATGGATTAAACTGAAGCTCTCTCTACATTTTGTTCAGTATTCTCCTAGTCATCTAGATTAAAGTCACTTATTAGTTTTTTCAATGACTCAGTTTCAATGATTCCATTTTGAGTTAAATTAGAATATCTTGCTATCTTTTCACCTATAGACCCATTTCTTTAATTGGGAAGAAGTTATTTCATAACAAGTTCTTATTTTTGGTAACCTGATTGCAAATCTGAAAGCTTAATCACTTGGTGTAAATTCAATTATAGACATCAGTGTCACATAGTTTCAAGTCTGATGTGGCAAAATTTAGGCACTTTTGCAAAGGCTTTATTTTAAAAAATATCCTCTCTCTTTGTAAAATAACATAGTCAAGACTTTGTTTGGGGTATGGAAACCATACTGTGCAAAGGTTTAATTTAGTTCTAGAATGCCACGATTCCAGTACAGCTTCTCCGCACCTGCCCAAAATCAGCTCGTGTGCATCTCCGCAATTTGTGCTTTGCCTTGGAGCTTTTAACGGGTGATGTTCAGGAATACAGGGTTCGGCTTTCACATCACCTCCTTTGCCTTGGCATCAACTGCCTAGTAGAGAAGTGAGCTTTTTTAAGAGAGTACAAAGTGGTCAAAGGGTTAAAAAGTTAAGTCTGCAGTTGGTGAAGATTGGCCAAGATCCAAAGGGTGACTGGGGTGGGCACCCGAGGGCTTGCATGTGCTCAGCAGGGGCCTTTGATTCCCCCCCCCCACACACACACTTCCTTTGAGCAGGAAAACCCCCTTTGCCGTCTCACCTACAGCTTTGGGAACTCTCCACAATTTCCGAAGCAGTTTGCCCTGCGAAGTGGCCGGGGGCCACGTGGAGCTAGTTAAGTGGTTCTCTGGACCTTGGGCTTAGTGGCCAATGTAAATCATTTATTGCTAACATTGAAAGATTCATAAAGTTGTGAACCCTACAATAATATATGAATAGGACTACTTACATTAGCTATAATCATGGCGGTAAGACGATATTTCTAAGAAGTAAACGGTGCTGTATAAAACCTTTAAAAGTAAAATGTTACCCTTTCTTTTTTTTAAGTCTTGAACCATCACAGCTGGCATCAGATAGTTAACTAGATTAGTTTGGAATATACTAAGCATACCATATTTAATATTCATTTTATGATATAGCAGCACTAGCTCTTTAAGTGTTTTTGTGATTTGTCCAGACGAACAAACTCTTTACTCAGCATGCAGTTTGTGGCAATTCTATTGAAGAGACAGGGTAGTATGTACAGTAACAATGCTTTGCTGTCTTCATCGAGGCCTCTTGACATTCCATCCCATTCCTGTTGACTATTTCAGGATTATCTGTTAGAAGAAAAGAAAAAACAGCAACAACATTGTTGGGTGTGCTATTCAATTCTCATGAAGTGACTATTCTTTTGCTTTTATGTTGCCTCAGAATGAAAGCACACAGATGATGCGCCTAATGTTCTTATGGACAAAACTTGTGTAGGATACGAGCCTTTTCAGAATAACGGTGCTCATTTGTTACAACGGTGTGTGCTCCCAATCACTTCCTGGACAGTCGTACCTCGGATCCCGAATGCCTTTCGAGTCGAACGTTTTGGCTCCCGAACGCTGCAAACCCGGAAATGAGTGTTCCGGTTTGTGAACGTTCTTTGGAACCTGAACGTTGGACGCAACTTCCGGTTGGCTGCAGGAGCTTCCTGAAGCAAATCAGAAGCTGCGCTTTGGATCTGAACGTTTTGGAAGTCGAACGGACTTCCAGAACGGATTCCGTTTGACTTCCGAGGTACCACAATATTAGGAAACTAACCACTGTGCCCCCAGCTGTGCCCTGTGCCTTTGCCCTCTGTCTTGACAGATGTTGCTGAGAGCTGGGGACACTCCGGCTGCCATCTCTGAATGGCGCCACCCCAGCACCATGCTCAGCTGGGGTTCTCCTGTGCCACATCATTATTTCTTCCACAGGCACTTTCCCCTATGCTGTTGCCTTTAGAACCAGAGAGTAACCTGGGAAGGGAGATGTATCCATGAATATTTGCCCAATATGTCACCTAGGACACAGCTCTACAGCTGCAAATAAAACATTGTAAGAGTGTTTTAAGTGCAATATACAATGTGACACTAGAGTCTTATGGAAAATTCAATGTACAGTGGAACCTCGGTTGTCGAACGTAATCTGTTCTGGAAGACCATTCGGCTTCCAAAACGTTCGACAGCCGAGGTGCAATGGGCGATCATCAAAGTGAATGGAGAAAGTTGAGAAACGCACCTCGGAAGCCGTTCGACTTCCAAGGCGCGTTCGAAAATGGAAGCATTTGCTTCTGGGTTTACGGCGTTCGGTTTCTGAAACGTTCGGCTTCCGAGACGCTCCACTGTATTTTTTTTAAAGCTTAAAAAAACCCATATTTTTTTGTGTGTGTAGATTCCACCCTAACCTGCTTAGTAGTAGTAAGAAACCAGAAATCCACAAACACTGAAAAGTAGTCTCCAATTAGGGAATGTACTTCAAGCTTGCAAACAGGCTGCTCTCAGGCTGAATAAAAGGGAAAACACCTCCAGGTAATTAGGCAAGGAAGAATTGGTGGCTTTTTTCTTTCAGGGTCACAAATTATTAATTTAAGCACCGTAAGGCTAATGAAATGGGCTAGTAATTTTTGTGGACTTATTTACAAGGCTGATTTATTATTAAAACTCAACTGCTTGAAGCAGGAGCTGCTTGCCTGGTGGGGTGGAGCTGCAGCAATAGCTGAATGGGCATCTCAGCAGGAACGCTGCATTGGCTCTGCCAGTGTACCCACGCAGCTGCCCTTCTTGGAAAGTAGCAAAGATGCTGCTGCCAGGAGACTCTTGCCGCAGCTCCGACCCAGCAAGTGAGCTGCTTGAAAGTAAATTTCTCTTGAGGCCTCAACTCCCAAAATCTAGCACAGGCTCCCACTTACGCAGAAGTTACGTTCTGGGCCTCCGCATGTTTCAGTGAAATGCATGTTAAGTGGGGAACACCCTGAAGAGTCCTAGCAGCTTGCAAGGAGACACTACCTGGAACCTGAAGAGGATATCCTCTATGAGCTCTGCGGAGGACCTCCTTGCAAGCCGGAGGGGGAGTGGGGCTTTGTTGAGGCTGCTCAGCCTCCCCGCCTAGCAGCTGACATGTGGGGTAGCGCAGCAGCTGCTTCCCCACACATCAGTTAAGCATCTCAAGAAAGCCCCACTGTCCCTCCAGCTCACGAGGAGACCCTCCCAGGGGACCAAAGAGGACGTCTTCTCTCTGGGGAGGGTTTTCATGCAAACTAAGAGGATTCTCCAGGGTGCTCCGCATGTCCCGGCACCAGATGTGTGCACGGTGGCGTACAAGTGGGGAGTTGCCTGTACACAGTTTTCCAGTTAAAGTAGAAGATGTAAAATTTATATGCATGTGCACACCATAATTTAGCATGAGATGAACAAGTTGCAGCAAGCTCCAGGCTTGTGCACTGCTTTTCCCCGCATGGTCAGATATTCAGAAGCTTCTGCTTCCGCTTTTGATTAACCACAGCTTGCCATGTAGTTTGGACCCACAATTATAGTAAGCATTAACTATGGTTTGTTTGAACAAGCCAGCGTCGGTTAACTATGATTTGAAGGTACATATTATCATAGTTAATATTAAACTAGTTTGTCAGTCAGAATGACACAATTAGGATTCAGAAAAAGTGACAACTGCCAAATTACTTCTCCCTGATTCAACAGCATGTGGGGACCCAATGTTGAAGAAAACTGCTATGGGAAATGCAACCACTATGAAGATCTAATTGGGGGCACTTTAGGATGTTCCTGGTTGATTTTTAAAGTTCAATGTACAGTCGTACCTTGGAAGTCGACCGGAATCCGTTCCGGATGTCCATTCGACTTCCAAAACGTCCAAAAACCAAAGTGTGGCTTCTGACTGGCTGCAGGAAGCTCCTGCAGCCAATTGGAAGCCCCATCGGACGTTCAGCTTCCAAAAGAACGTTTGAAAACCGGAACACTCGCTTCCAGGGTTCAATCGTTCAGGAGCCAAAATGTTCGAGAACTAGGCTGTTCAAAAACCAAGGTACGACTGTATAAGGTTTGAGTCCTATATCATCACCTGAGGACTATGAGACACTACACCAGCATGGAGCCTCCAGTTCCAAAATATGCAGCTGCTACATTTTTCTACATAACTTTCAGAACATATTTCTGATAAAAGGTGGCAGTCTTCATCAGAATGGTGGGTGTATTTCATATTTCATGTTCTCAGGGCAAATGGATATATTCTGTATGATATACATGAACTATTAACTACAGTGAAATATTACCTCTGCCCTACAGTCTAAAACTAAAATGCTAAAATACATCACTAAAAACTAATACAAAAAGCTAAAATACATTAGCCATTAGGAGGCTTATTTCAGCCACATAAAGAATCAACTCCTTTATCAATAAATAGTTGCTGAAGCCAGATATGAGAATATAAAAGACTAGTGAGAGACCAAGCTTAAACCACAGGATGGACGATTCATAAAATAAGCAAATAATAATTTCAAGTTATTTTATCCAGCTTCCTGCAGATAGCTCTACAGAGTTTCATTTATTTATGGGAAACATATTTTTCAATCACAACACTATTCTAATAATATTAGAGTGAGAGTACAAGAATCTGAGGCCTTACACTAATCCACAGATGTTCCCTGCCATAGCTTCCTCCTTGCTGTAGCTGCTTCTATCATTTATTTATTCAAATATTATTTATTTTTAATTCTGTTTTTAAGACCAAGAAAAAGGCTCCCAGAGCAGCTCACAAATCACTAAAAATTGACAGTCCCTGTCAGCAGCCTTACAATATAAACAGACATGACGCAAAAGGGAAATGGACTGGGGGGAGGAATAAATGAACTTGGGTGCAAGTTCATGGTTAAAAGTTGCTCTAATGAATAGCTGGGAATGGAGCAGGGCAGGAAACGGGGCAACTCCCCACAACTCTTCCTTTCCTCTGCTGCAACTCGGGGGGCAATTTAATCACAGGAAGCTGGTATGAAGCCAGATCCAAACCCCATTCAGCAGTGGGGCTGCTGCTGGAAGAGCTGGAAATAATGTTCTCTGCTGAGTTGCCCGGTCCTGTGACCAAGAGGAACAGGCCAAGTGCCATGCCCCTGGAACACCCATTTTGGGGAATTCGTGGCAGCCTCGGCTCAGCCCTGACTGAACCAAGATGATATTACACTGGCTGAGCTGGGGTTGGGGACTTAGCTCTGACTGCGTGGGGCGTCAACCAGCCAAGCCAGAGATCCACTGCATCCTAAGCTGCTCACCCCAGCAGATCTTGCCATGGGATTGCATCCTTCCACTGCTGTTACGTTATGCCCCATACCTTTATTTAGAACAAATACCTTTGGGATTTGGCCGTGGTAGAGCAAGGGCTGTACTCTTCTGTATACAGTGGTGCCTCGCAAGACGAAATTAATTCGTTCTGCAAGTCTCTTCGTCTTGCGAGTTTTTCGTCTTGCGATGCACGGTTTCCCATAGGAATGCATTGAAAATCAATTAATGCGTTCCTATGGAAACCGACTTCAGACCAGGTCCGGGGACAGTCTGTCCCCCGACCTCTTCTGAAGGCTGGGGGGGGAACAAGGGCTTTTCTTCCCACCCCCAGCATTTTAAAAAAACCCCGAGACAGCGGAGACTTCTCCGCTGTCCCAGGGCGATCTTAAAATGCTGGCGGGCGGGAGCGAAGCCTCCGCTGCCGCCCGCCAGCATTTTAAAAAACCCCGGGACAGCGGAGGGCTTCTCCGCTGTCCGGGGCGATTTAAAAGCCCCTGGGAAGGCAGGCAGGGGGGACAAAGACTTTTGCCCCCTGCCTGCCTTCAGAAGAGGTTCTGGACCTCTTCTGAAGGCCGGCGGGGGGCAAAAGTCTTTGCTCCCCCCTGCCTGCCTTCCCGGGAGAGCGGAGAAAGGCAGCGCGTTTCTCCGCTGTCCCGGACGGCTTTTGAAGGCAGGCGGGGGGGGCAAAGACTTTCGCCCCCCGCCCGCCTTCAGAAGAGGTCCAGGACCTCTTCTGAAGGCGGGCGGGGGGCGAAAGTCTTTGCTCCCCCCCGCCTGCCTTCAAAAGCTGTCCTGGACAGGCTTCGCGGACCTCTCCGCAAGCAGCAGGAGCGCTCCCGCTGCTTGCGGCGAGTTGCCAGCATGCCGAAGCCTGCGCGCGCTGAGATCAGCGCGCCCAGGCTTCGCGGCCCCGCCGCCCGGCTTCGGAGCATCGTTCCGAAGCCGGGCGGCGGCGGGAGGTTTCCTGCCCCACCGCCCGGCTTCGGGGCATCGTTCCGAAGCCGGGCGGTGGCGGGAGG